GAACTTCACTACCATCTACAGGTAAGCAGAAGCTTGTCAGGACCAGCCTGTTCTGGGATATCATTGTAATCAAACATAAAGGCTTTTGGCATGTTATGAAGTGTTGGAAACTTTTTCCTCGTCGAAGCAGAGACCAGGAGACTCTTGGGTATTTTCAGCAGAGTTCTTTATTGAGAACGCGCTGCGTGAAATATTAACACGTAATGTTAATCTTCCCTGTCTTAACAGAGGATAATCAATTCTTCCCTGCCGAAACAGAAGATAACCTTCATCTCTAAAATAAAAATAAAAAATTTTTTAGAGGATAACTTAGTTAACCAAACCCTACAGCTGTCTGTTCATGTACGGCCAGGCCTGGTTTATGGACCTTTAGCCCCAGGGCCTCAGACTGATACTCAGGGCCCTCCAAAGCCTCAGGCCCGAGGCTGGAGTCTGCCAAAATAAGATGAGCAGCAGGGCTGCTGGTGCATATAACAAGCTGACAAATATGGCCCCCGGCCTCTTGGCGAATACAGCGTAAGCTGACCACTACGGCTCCTTGGCAGACCAGCATGAGCTGGTCTCTGTTTACTATTTTAGTCATCTAATGTTAGCCTACCAAAATACTCATTTTTATCCGCATAACACTACAACCACCAAATCCAACAAAGCTTTTTCTTCAAACCATCTAGCTGCTCAATAGCACTGACTCATCGCCTCCCCCAACCTCCCACCTGAAAAGTCTACTAGGCACTGAAAGGCATGCATATGTGTATGAAATTACAGTACCGACCTCAGTGTAATAATTCTCCCTTCAACACTAATGCACTATACTGAGCACTACATTTCATATTAATGTCCCATTTATTGTTGCCCACTCCTGGTAATGTTCTTTTTATTTTTCTATTTCCATTTACTGTTTAATGTTGCCTGTCTTATGCTAAATGTTCGCACTGGAGAAAGTACATTTTGTTTAGTCTCCAATGCAGCAGAAGAGAGCCGCAATAATAAACCTTGACTCGAGTTGGTGATCCAATTCAAAGTCTAGACCGTTTTCAATACACCTATTAAACTGATTTGTACAGACATCATTTTTCATAGATATCCCTAACTTAATCAAAATTAGGTGCAACTAGAGTCACAGTGAGACGTTTCAGTAAGCGAAAACATTTCACTTTGCAATTTCAAGCTTTTCACCTGCAGTCTGTTGAAGGCCACTTGGGAGAATGGATGCTATATTTGAATGCTTCTCAGAGATGAAGACCGAGAAAGGTCATACTTTATGTGACCTTTTGGAGCGTTTTGAATTGGAACAGTTTCAAACTTTCACCTACAGTTTAAGATACATCTATGAGAAGACTTAGGAGCATAATAGCCGTGTATTGGCGCAAGCATTCGATGCGCAAGGCCAAACAGATGGCATGCAAACAGACTAAAAGAGCCTTTTGCATGCCTGAAACTGGTTTGGATAGTTGGCTGATGGGGTGTGTGACGCAGCTGCTGTTAAACTTTATTCAATTAGCTTAGAGACTGACAATAGCAGCGAGTAAACAAAACGCACAAGCAAGGGCTGAGCTGCTATTTCAATTCAATTCAATTCAGATTGTGAGTCAGAGTTTGCCATAATGTTCTGGTCTGCCAGTGGTTTATAACAAATCAGCTTCTGATCAGATTCCAAGGCATTAATTCAAAATGGCCTATTTACAAGTGACTTTGCTTTCAACCATCAATTCTGAAATAAATTGGTATTTACAGCACAAGGGATTCATTGTCAGTGAACGGGTAATTATTTATTGGTGTTTTATTGGGGGGGGGGAAGCCAGACCACATTTCCCAGCATCCCTATAGGCAGGAACAGTAGACATTACCAAGTGATTTGCACTCATGAGATTCATAGTTCATAACAGTCACAAACAGGGAGCTGTTCATAATCCACATGTGGAAAAGGGATAAAATTATGAATACAATACCCGCAATAACATTTAGCAGCGCGCCGTCACCGCAAAAGCGACGACGGGCTACCAATGCCCATGAAAGAGTATGTGCACACTGTTACATAGAAAAATAGCACTGTCAAAAGTTTTTAAGCTCTTTAAGGTTTCAACTGTCACTTGCTTTAAGCTTCTTTTAAACAAACTGTACGTCTTTGACATGGCATCAAAAAGTAGCAAGTCAACCCAGACAGCAACATAGTGTTGGCCCAAATCCGGCCCACATCTGGCCCATGTGAAATCCATGCGGGCCAGATGTGGGCCGGATCTGGGCCGAAACTGTCTGCTGTCTGGGGTGGTAGAAGAAGTTGTTCTGTCAAGAGAAAGGAACAGTCAGTCTACTATTTGTTTGTTTCAGGTTATATCAAATTCATACACACAAGGACAAGATTACGGCGCCCCCATTGCACTTGAGGCCTTGTCTCGGTGGATGGTTCCAACAGTGAACGGGCTCGACTGAGTAATTCAAGATGGTCTTGCAGTTACAAGGGAGGTAAGAGAGCAATACATTTCCTTCGAAAAAGTAAGTTGAAATGCTGAAAAGAAAGTGAGGATTATAATCATAACAACAGCAATGATAATGCAAGCAATCGTAATAATAGAGCAACAAGGTTCAAAAGGAAAAGACATTTAATTCCTATCTGAAAAGTAATAAAGTTATATATCCAGCATGGGTTTTTTTTTTCTTTTTTGTCCTTTTCTTTTTTTTAACAGAATCTTCTTCCAAAAAGAGTTGATAGTGCACTATTCATTTCCGTGGAATTATACAGCCACCATTAGCTGGCTTCAAAAAATTGGACAACAATCAAGCAAAAAAAGCCACAGTATCGCTGATCAGCGTGGCGTGTTTTTTTATAGTCATCCTAGACACCTGAGAAAACGGATAAGAAATCAGATCTGTCTTTTTTTTATCGGAAAGATACTACATTTATATATTCAAGTTATGCAAATTACATCTATAATCACATATTCAAGCATATACTCATGTACACACATATATCTAGTGAGAGAATAGTTTAATATTTAATATATAATATTGTACTTTGTATGGTAGAGTAGAATTAGGGTGCATGTTTTTTGGGGGGGATGTGGGGTTAATTTCGAGGAAATGTATAGATATACTCGTGTAGGTCTATGTATATATATATATATGTATACGATCCCTCATACAATGATCAATAATCATAAGAAATCATAAGAGCAAAGGTTATAGGCAAACAGGTTATAACTGTTGGGTTATGTGCGTCTGGGTCAAGAGACTGGGTGAGCACCATATAAAATGATGGTCGTAAACACGAAGAGTGTTTTTTTCTGTGGCGGAAAAATACGCAAGCATGCGCCAGCATGCAACCCACTCGCTGCCGACTCGACCTGGGTGAGAAATGCCAAACCAGCACCGATCACAACGTCAAAAACTCGAGGAACAGAGAAAGAGAGAGAAAGGATATTGCTGTGTTTAACAGTTCTGTGGTTCACGTCTTCAAAGAGTCTGTCTGTGCATATATATATATATATATATATATATACATACTGGCCATGAAAACCCACGTCCAGTTTGTGTTCAAAAGAGTGTGTGTGTGTGTGGACGTATTTGCTTTAACATTTAAATATATACACGGAAAAATCTTGTACACATTTGGCGACTCCTGAGACATAGTGACAGGATGTAATGCCATCTTTCTCTCTCTCTTTCTCTCTCTCTCACCTCAGGATAAAACAAACACACACACTGAATTTTAAGAAAAGGAATAAAAGATGCCAAAACAAGTGCTTGAACAAATCCATGATGAAAATTTGAAACTATACAGTTTTCATGTTCGCTATTTTTAGTTTCTCATCAGCTCCGTTTCTTTTCGTAACTCCTATTGACGTTCGTCCCTTTAGTCTTGTTCTTCCTGACCAGCCTGACTGCCCCTGATGTTGAAAATACAGTGGGTACGGAAAGTATTCAGACCCCCTTAAATTTTTCACTCTTTGTTATATTGCAGCCATTTGCTAAAATCATTTAAGTTAATTTTTTTTCCTCATTAATGTACACACAGCACCCCATATTGACAGAAAAACACAGAATTGTTGACATTTTTGCAGATTTATTCAAAAAGAAAAACTGAAATATCACATGGTCCTAAGTATTCAGACCCTTTGCTGTGACACTCATATATTTAACTCTGGTGCTGTCCATTTCTTCTGATCATCCTTGAGATGGTTCTACACCTTCATTTGAGTCCAGCTGTGTTTGATTATACTGATTGGACTTGATTAGGAAAGCCACACACCTGTCTATATAAGACCTTACAGCTCACAGTGCATGTCAGAGCAAATGAGAATCATGAGGTCAAAGGAACTGCCTGAAGAGCTCAGAGACAGAACTGTGGCAAGGCACAGATCTGGCCAAGGTTACAAAAAAAATTCTGCTGCACTTAAGGTTCCTAAGAGTGAATACTTTCCGTACCCACTGTATATCATTTAATGATAACGATCCTGACTTTTTCTTCATATAGCCCTCTTTCGGTCCAGCTCCCCGCACCCTCCCACCCATATATAAAATATACAAAAAAGATTATTTCCAAAATCTCATCGCCTGCCTCCTTCTGCAAGTATAAAAATATACAGTTTTCCTATGTCAAAATCTCGTTCGCGCTCTCGCCGCCATCCGCATTCCTCCTCCGCCTCTTCGTCTACTCTATTATAGCTGACCCTAACAGTTCAAAAATATACAATGTGTTTTTTGTCATAGAAAAAATTACATCTCTACTGCCTCCTGTATAGTTCTCTCTCTGAGAAAATCATCCCGTATAGAAAGAGGATGTTCACAAGGGCTACGTGACGTTATAAATGATCTGCCTTTATGATCCGTGAGTATTTATGAGAGATTGGATTGCACATACTCAGTCAAGGTTTGGGGTGTATCGTAGGAGAAGAGCCGATGCTTATGAAATGCGCTTGTGCTTACAGTACAGGTAGACCTTGTGCACATCCCTCGCGCTGGGGCTGTTGAACCACAATTTTAAAGTATTTGTTTCAACCAAGCACCACACCAGCTAATTCAACCGATCCCTGCACGTACGGAAAAAAATGTAAATCAGTGAACAGAGTATCGTAATGCTTATTTGAAGCAAACACTACGAGAAAATGCCATTCCAGGATGAGTTGAACAGCCCTTGAAACGCTATTTCAAAATCAGTAATTGTGTCTTTCTCTTCCTTCTGTTCTTCCTTTCTCTTCTTCATAAGTCTCCGTGGTGGCTATCGTATTTGCTGATGATGTTGCGACAGCGGCCCAGCTCTTTTCGCATATCGGCGACCTCCTGGCGAAGGGCGGCGTTCTCCCGTTCCAGGAACGCCGCTCGGACTGAAATCTGGTTCTCCTTCAATCGGCGGGCATCGCGAGAACGCTTTGCTGCTTCGTTGTTTTTGAAGCGTCGGCTCCAGTACTTGTCATCCTTTGGAGGTAAAAAATGGGGAAAAGGGTCAGATCATAATTACGGATACATGATATATGAGTACCATATGGTTTATTAGACAGTATTACATTTTTAAATCATAATCATATTTATTTTTAATTTATTTACACCAAATGTTATAAAATGTTAACATTGGCCATTTACCTGTTATTTACCATAATATTAATAATTACTGGCTTCATATAAATTTAAATATCAGCTAGAATGTTAATATCGGTGCGTCCTTTATTATAATATATCATTATCAGAATAATAACAGCTTATTTAAGCACAGAATTTTACAATGTTAATAACAATACGCTTGCCATTTTTTATAAGATAGACTTTTTATAAGAGATTTTTATAATATTTAATTTTAATTGATTATTCATAGACATCTTGCCAGCAGCATGATAAAGCAATCAAGTTTATCTGGAATTTGGAAAACAATCATCTATCTATCTAGCTATCTATCTATCTAGCTATTGTAATGTGTAATAATCAGAATAACAGCGGCTTATTCACACACAGAACCATAGAGTTACAATGTTAATAACAATACGGTTGATGTTTTTTATAAAAAAGGACTCTTAAGGCTTGTTCACACCGGGATGAATATCGTGTGCGATTATCGCCAACGTTTAACGCCTCGTGACTAAACAAAGGGCGCCAATGTGAGTGTGCACACCGACGCGCAAAACGCAAGGCGTAAAAGCGTACTTTTTTTAAAAACGCCTCGGGCTCGCTTTTTTGGTTTAACGCGCTGTGTTAAAAACTGGCCGACCAATGAGATTGGCGCTTTTATTCATGTGCCTGTAGCTGCTGAAGTTACAGTAAAACACGACTTGGTGGCGCTCAAGCACAAAACGGTCATGCCGAGTAAACATTGATGCCTAACGACAAAGAGGAAGTAAGTAGACCAAGATGAATGTAGAGCTGCTGGTCTCATTGGTGTCTGAACACAAAGGGCTTTATTACAAACGCGACAGTGACTACAAAAATCTAGATAAGAGGGAGTTGTTATGGAGAGGAATTGCAGATCAAATAGGATTCGATGTGTACCGGGGTATTTCTGTTTTTCATTAAGCGCCATCTAATGTCAGGGAGTGAATTTGCACGTTCACTCGGCTCATCGCCAGCGAAAATCGCTTGGGTATGAACACAAAAGACATGCCAAAAAACGTCGGCGATAAGCACGCGCGATAATCATCCTGCTGTGTACGAGGCTTTAGGATGCTGATTAAAACTGTATATTATCCTTTAGAAATTTTTGGAATATTTAATTTTCATTTATTTATTTAATTGATTATTCATAGATGCTTGCCAGCAGCATGATAAAAATAAAATTATCTGTAGTACCTTCTGTTCATCTGGCACCAGCATTTTGCGGGCCTTCTTGATCATGGGCTGGGGCTTCAGCTCATCCTCGGTGAAGCGATGCCTGCGCGGGTCGAACGCCTCCTGGCCTGGCACACTGGACAGGGCGAGGTCAGCGGGGTCGGGATCAAAGTTCACCATGACATCAGCCACATTGGTGGGCGGCACCACCGGCGGAGGTGGGCAGGAGGGGCTCGGAGAAGGGTCAGGTGGTACAGTTTGAGCCCCTGTTGAGAAAATAAAAGAAGCGTCAGGAAAAAATTGTCTCTCACATGTCGCAGACCACATGTTACCATGGCAGATGAAAACACCACGAGTCTGGGCTAAAAGCAAAGAGGATTATGAACAATACAAGTGTATGTTCCCTGACTAGATGCAGTGGCTTGTTTTGGCCACAAGGTTGCGCCAAAAGCCAACGTGGACACTTGCCAATTTCAGCAGCTGGCAGGCAAGGTTGACAAGCCAACCTGCAGTTTCAATTCATGTTATAAACATCCAGAGAAACACAATAAAACTGACTCTGAAAACGCTCACATTTTGTTCACGGCCGAGATCATTTAAATTCATTGGGCCTCGTTTTCCAGCACTTTACAGCACTTTGCTTACTTCTCATATATTCTTCCTCTTTTTAGTGTGAAATATGCTTTTAGAGCAGATTGGAAGGCGAGCACTTGACGTTAATTATGATACATTAGCTGTAATGGCAGTTTCTGCTTTAGTGGTTCTGAGCCGCTGCTTTAAATTGTTCCAGAGTAACTTCTTACACAGATATAATGTTTATTTTGGGATACACACATATTATTAAGAGCTAATTATATGCGAGTAGCATTTGCTGTCGTATGCACCTTTAAACATCGCCTGGCTGTAAATGTTGAAATAAGATAATTCTGTTTATTTCAGACTTTATAACAGAACAATCTGGCTTCAGACTTAAAACAGCTCTCGAAAGCAAATTGTCATGTAAACATAATCAAATTCTTTGTAATTTAATAATGAGCTTCCAAGGAGGCCTGCCAAAGATTTGTTTTTCATTCATTAAGACAACGCACAAAGGCCAACACAAAGTGATATAGGAAGATTGTTACGTAAAGCGCGCTCCCACCAAACCGACATATTGTCCAGTTCCTGTACTAATCCTCATCTATCTGAAATCTAGCAAGGGAAAAAAGTGTTTTTTCCAATGAGCATGTACAAGGCCAGCTGTCCTTTGGGCCTCTTCCTTTCTATGCGGGAGGAGACATAAACAAGAGGCACAGCTGTGTGCACAATTCACATAGTACAAGCTATACAAACACACACAATGACATACAGTGTTTATACTGCCATACAAAGGCAAGCCCATCTATCTATCTATCGTTCTATCATATATATATATCATTCCATTATTTTATACAAAAACAAACCAAATGCTATCTCTCTATCATTCTATCGTTCTTTTTATCGTTCTATGATTCTATATATCATTCTATCGTTTTATACAAAGACAAACCAAATACTATCTATCTATCTATCTGTTGTTTTATACAAAGGCAAACCAAATGCTATCTATCTAGTTTTATCATTCTATATATTGTTCTACCTATACATCTGTCTGTCCGTCTGTCTGTCTATCTATCTATTTGTCTATATATGCAAAGGCAAACCTAATTTTATCTCTGTCTCTCTCTGATACTATCTATCTATCTATCTATCCACACACATTAATGTACTTTAAATATACAATTATAACCACATTATTGGCACCACACATATCAATACACAGCACACACAACTTGATCTGTTTCAGATGTCCAAACACAATCAAACATTTGTTTTACCATGAAGAAAAGACAAATACCAGGCATATGCATACATATCTTTTAAAACGTATATATATCTTTTTAGCTTTCTCTTTCTATCCCTCTTGCCCCTCCTTCTCCTCCCCTGTCCATTCTTTCCCCTCAGTCTCTCTCTCCATTGCTCTCTGCATCAGCACGTGACAAGTCTACTGCACATGGCCCCAACGTGTGAGAGAGCGGGAGGGAGGGGGAGAGAGAGAGAGAGAGAGAGAGAGAGAGAGAGAGAGAGAGATAGAGAGATTTCAAAACATGCAATAGAAATGCACCCACATCTCCAGCGGTCATCTCTCTCCCTCTTTCTGTGCAGCATTTTGAAAATTCAAATGGATCTTCTTGTGAATACAGTGCAGAATACTGCACAATAATTTACATTAGTTTCAATTTAACAATGTCCAAAACTAAAGACATATTGGAAGTATTGCACTCTGTGCAATCACTAATGCCATTATGTTGTTAGGTAGGATTTATTTTGCTTGATAAAGCTAAATTTGGTGCTTCCCTAAATATTACATGAGGTCATTATCTGCTCTGATGATTATGCTGTAAAGAAACATTTCCACTCTACAAACACACACACACACACACACACACACAGCTGTGCCCTTAAAGCTTCAAAGCCTGCATTGCCCTGGGCTTCGGATGCCAACAGTTTTAGACATCCCATCATGCCTCACTGCAGTCTACACGAGTCACTGAGACTGTCCTGCTCATGTTTTCACCAATGCACACACAAAAATACACCAAAAAAGTGGTGGAAACAAAATAAAGTTGTCGTACAGACAAACACTAATCAATCTGCAATATGCAACTATTGCGATATTTAACTATCATTAAAAACACAGTATGCGGCAACTAAACCATTAGCAAGCCATTATGATTCCTCAGAAAATCGAATGAAAAACTTTCTTACCATGCAGACACTCCGGACCTCCCAGCAGTCCAGGGCCCTGTGGCACGGCCAGACCCAGTAAAGAGGATGATGAAGACGATGAGGAGAGGGAAGAGATGGAGGAGGCGGAGGAAGAGCAGGGCGGAGAGGAAGAAGGTGGGCACTGGGAACTCTGGCTGGGTACGGCCGATTGCGTGCTCTGGGAAGGGACCTGAGCGGCTGTACTGCAGGTGTTTCCTGACGGCATGCACCCCATCCCATTCTCTGTCAAGAACTCCTCCAGGTCCATGTACTGTAGCTGGAACAGGCCGCCGTCACACGGCAGCGAACGTTCCCATAACAATGGGCCGAGGAAGGCGGACTGGTTAGTGGAACGCAGGGTGCCGTTCCCACCGTTCATGCCCCCAACTCCACCCAATGAATCCTCATCAGAGTCCGGAGGTTTGTCTTTATCTGAGAGGGGCAAAAAGAACAATAATCCATCAAATATGTTCACTTTTTTATTTTATCATAAATACATTTGCATATATGCCATGGAAAGAAAATCTGCAAAATTCTGGATTTAATCACACATTAAATTTTTCATTTACCATCGCACAAAGCTCAACATTTGTGCAAATTACAATTTCAAGGGATGCATGATCAGTGTTGGGAAGGTTACTTTGGAAATGTAATAGGTTACAGATTACAAGTTACCCTACTTAAAATGTAATA